ATCGTGTTAGTCCAGCAACAGGCACATATTGTAAAACGTGGATGTACATTGAGTCGACTCTTGATGCTGCCAATGAATTTTTAGTAGCTGTTATATCTATTCAACGACATACACTCATTTTTCAACCAAATCTATTACATATACGTTTCAAACGGTATCTTCTATATTATTTACCACTTCTGTTCTGCATTATTTATCCAGTTGTTTTTTATTTGGGTACTATTATTTTGTATTCATGTGATGAAGCACAATGGAACTTTACATTAAATGCATGTGGTGATACTATCTGTTATCTTTCAGATAATGAGATATTAGCTGGATATGATTGGATAGTGAATACTGGACTACCGATTATTGCCATCATTTTGGGCAATGTGATACTTGTCATAAGAGTAATTAGACAAAAACATCGTCGACAACGAACTGTATCATGGTCAAAACAAAGACATATGACAATACAGTTGATCAGTATCTCAAGTCTTTATCTGTTAACATGGTTGCCGAATGTCATTATTGGTGTTATGCAACAGATAAATCCATCAGATTATTTATATGGAATTGAGGAATACATTGTATCAGATCTCACATATTTAATCTGTTTATTACTACCATGGATGTGTCTTGGATTACTTCCTGATTTCAAGAAATGGATGTTAAAACTATTACGTCGTGTAAAAAAGCCATCGAACATAGTTGGAACAACAACATTAAAAACTCGCCAGAACTAAAAAATTGTCTTGCACATTTGTATATCGTAGTAGTGTGTTTGATTCTTTTCTTTCTTGTCAGATTATTCTTGTCATGTGAAAAAATGTTTTTAAAAAATAAAGGGTTGTCAAAATAACAATAAAAATACATAATATTATTGAAAACCTAATGAAATTATGTTGAGACAATATTCTGTAAATAAATAGTACACTTAAATAATTGAATATTATTTTGGTAGTGATGGATTGGTTTTTTCTATTATAAAAAAGCTTGTTCGTTATGATCATCAACATTGTTTATGATTTTCTTCTTGAATAAAATCAGAGCTAGGTAAAATATTCGCACTCGTAGGTTAGTACTCAGACTCAGACTCATAGTCGAAGAGTGAGTACTCGTACCCGTACTCGGATATACCTAGTTGTCAATGACAAGAGTATTGCAAATTATATTTTGATACATACTTCAATGATTAGCTGATTATAAAAAAGACAATTTTTTCAAAAAAATGTTTCATGTACGAGACTAAAGTCTGTTGGGTTGATTATTCGGTCAAACAAATTTTAAAGTTATTTAAGAAATCAAAGTAGTCGAATAAAAATGCTCAATATATTTTTGACTATTCAATAACAGCTAGCTAATATTTTATTGTCATACTGGAATTCTTCAGTTAAATTTTTTACAAATTTAACGAAATGAAAAAAGAGATTTATAATTAAACAAATTCAATGATATTTGTAGATGAATTTAGAAGATCTTTTGAATTTATATTTATGTCTTAATGAACATTCGTTTTGTGAACTTTTAATGAAAGATATACGAATATCTTTATTTCTCTTACATTCATCGGAACCACTAAGGTTGCATACAATAAGATGTAACTATAACATCTTCATAAATTCATTTATATAAAGGACACAAAAGATCACTCGATAGAAAATTTTTATCACTTAACTCTATGATTTATTTCTTTCTTTGTATTTAAATTCGACATATATATATATATATGTATTGTGTCTTTCCCTGACGAAGGAACGATTAATACGAGCATATATATCCAATTCTACGAAAGATTTTCTCTTAGTAAAACAGATATTTATTATATTGGTTATCCATATTTAACCATTTGTTTACTGCAACTGTTTAAATCAACCATTTTGATTTCCAGTCGAATATGAATAAGTTATTTAAAATGAGGTTCCTCTATCTTTGCTTTCCAGTATATTTTAAACTGATGATTTCCTATCTTCTTTTAAACTAAAAGATTGCGTAGTTCGTTTTAGTATTAGAAGCGAATTTTGTATTTTTATAATAAAAGATTTTAAGACTACATAGATAATTAATGTATCATTTATTGATAGATCATTTGATGCAGAAATTCTGACACTATTGAAAAGAAATATACAGTAAAAATAAATCTGAATAATAAAAGTTTTATCGAATACTTCTAAAAAAAATCGACACTTATCATTTACTTATTTCTTGTTGTCGTAAAATAGTTGAAACAGTTGTAAATAAAATGAATGATATCTTCAAGTAATCATTATTAAAAACTTATCGTCTTTGCAATCGTATTCTCTTCCTATCGTTATCAAAATATATCGTTATTAACTGATTCTATTCTATCGATATTGTGATCGTTTTTTTTGTATTGTTTTTATGTATAATATCATGTCGCACACCATCTCAGCATAATCTGACTGACTTCTTTTAAAATATGTTTATCATGTTTAGAAATAGATATAGCAATAATAACTTCAAACTGAAGTAAAGCCAAAAGAATCAAAACCAATGGCATGATTGTAGTGATCATTGTTTCATCTCTGTTTTATTTTTTAGATTAGTTTACAGTTTTTATAAAATTAGTGTTCAAACACATATTCGTAATTTGTTCAAAGAGTATACTATACCTGAAACTAGTAAGATATCTACTAGTTTCTTTTATTTGAAATTGATTAATGTTTATATATATATTAGATCAAGGTGAATATCAATGTTTGATTTGTCCTCAATCATTCGGAAGGAACAGATACAATTGGTTGATTCATCTTCAAATATCACATAAAGATACATACGAAAAAGTGTTGAAAGAATTGCATTGGGAAAAAAACGAAATAACTGAAGGTCTTCGAAAAGTTGCAACTGATGATAATAATGAAGTAAGATTTCGAACTTTATCTTAAAATAATAAAAAACCAATATCATATTATATTGAAAAATAAATAAAAGAGATTACATCAAGTTTTTTCATGATATATATACAACTGAGATATAATCAAAATCTTACATAAAAAATATTATTTCTTAGAAATAATATTATCCTGAATCTTTTTTTCAGGATAACTTTATTAACTATCACATAAATTTTAAATTTGTGGAGGAAACAGATGAAAATGAAATGCAATATGCTGAAGATGATGTAACTAAGGTAAAATAAATTATAATTATAGAATTCATGTTATAACAAAAGGGGAGCAAAATAAATCATCAGTCAAGTTGATTTATTAGCAGTCAGGTCAGTCGACCATTGTTATGCTAAGCTGTCGTATATTTTTTTTTATGACAAAAGCATCATTGACGGCTATTTATATGAGATATATATACATAAGTCAGATATTTTTCTAATGACCACTCATTTCTTTCGTTGCATATTGACCTATCAAATTTATTAAACTGATTATTCTAAAAAAAATAATGGTTGAAAAAGAGATAAATCTGGAACAAGTACTTTTACTTTTATTTTAGATCGGGTATGTTTCTAAAATTTTTTCATTTAGGAAAAAGAAAAAAATGCAATAAAAATGGTCCAAGTAACTCAGGATTATGCAAATGGCAAAATAAACGTTGACGAATATTTATCAAAAATACAACAAATTCTTCAACAGCAATCGTCATCAACATAATTTTGCATGTTTTTTTATAATGTACGAATTTGATTATTTAATCATGTTTGTAGCAGTTCTCTACACCATTCGTGCATTGTTTGAACGATTAGCTGCTTTACCTTTCAATATTTTTTTGTATTTTGATTGGGACAAAAGAAGAAAATATATTTTTCAGCTCGTATTATAATGAAGTGTATCATTTTCGAGATAATTTGAAGTTTCTTTCTACATGTATAGTCACTGAAAAACATACGAGTTAATTTGAGTTCTACTCACATATGACAGTTCGATCAACACAAAAAGCCATGAAATTAATTTTCTTACTATATCATTGAAAAGACAGTTTGATTTTTGCTAAAAATCATTCCATATACTTATAATTTTGAAACTATGACGTTCGTGATACTAGCACTAAAAAGATTGTATAGCTCAACGAATAATTAAAACAAGACTGCCCCATTATCACACGAAATCTTCAGTATGATCTTATTTTATCATCAATATTTCAATATTATAAGATTTTAAAGTAACAATGAGCGGAAATCAAGCCTAATAAATATATTGATCTATTTTCTTCTGAAGTCCTCTAATGCTTTGATACTTTTGAGATCAAGTTTTACATTTAACCGTTTAGGATGATGAATGATTTTATCAGCTGAATTACATATAAGAGTGCATGATAAACACATTTAATTGAATTCGAACATGAAATATTTACATTGTTAAGATTGAACGAATTTTTATTTATGAAAATCATAGTTCTTACAGTAAAAGTGCCGGTTACCTATAGTCTTTTGCCAAATTTCTAATGAAATAATATTTTTGATTATATAACGCGCTTTCAGTAAAAAAAGAGGCCCAATTACTTTTGTATTAATACTATTCCAGAATTTATTATAAATTTATAATATCTTAAAAATAATTTTCAAAAAACTTTAAAAGATAGAAAAGCAAATGCATTGATACATTAATAATGATGGAGGTTCCTGTGATCTCACTGTTCATTCACATTCTCACCCATTTCTTCAAATTTATTGAAGTTGTAGATGAATGAGTTGTGATATTTCATTCATTTCTCATCGAAACCAAACGCTCTTAAGATTGTATGTTTCCTCGTGATAGCAAAGCTTTTAGATGCCGTAAGCTGTTGCATTATTCTTGGTAAACGAATACATAAATGCATTACATAATTAAATAGAACTGAATAATATATGCAAAAGAATCTTGTTTGACAGAATAAAACTGTAATTATCAATTGATACTTTTCATTAGTTCTGATAAAATACACAATATATCAATATTTTTATTTCCATTGTTGAATGTCTATTTCTAACGTCTCCTCTACTAAATATATAATTATATAACGGTAGAACTGTTGTCAATAGTTTTGGTAATGCCAATTACGTATTTTAGTTAAATCATGCTCTAAAAAATGTATCTCAAAAATAACTAGAGTAATTAAACAGAACATACTCAACGACGATTTTTCTCAATCTTAGTTATAGTTTTTTTAATCAAAAGACTTCATATTTCCGGTCATGTTGTAGCACAAATGAGACAAGTATATATAACGAAAGAGGGAGAGGGAAAGACTTACAAAAAAGAAAAACAACGATGTAAAGGCAAAGCATTACCGCAAGTATTATATTATTAATGTTAAATTACATTGTAAAATAGTTTATATCTCTCTATTTCTATCTTGACTTTTATTTTAAATAAGATGTTAATATATATTAAGTGTTTTTTTAATAGAAATTAATTTTACTTTGTAGAATTTATGGATCACATTGAAGAATACAATATATTGTTCTCGTCTTTTTTTGCAGCAAGCACCACATTCTATACGTTTCGTAGACAATCTTAATAGTTAAATACAACGTGTCTATACGTTGAACTCGAATTTATAGACTTCGATATTTTTTAGATTTGAATCTCAACAAATCTATGATTAGTCAAAGAGTCTTTCGTCAAGTTCAATAATAGTTTTCATTCTTTAACATGCTGTCGACGACGAATATTAAAATCGAATATATTTCATCGTTAAGTAAGTCATTCTTTTTTTTAGATTTGTACTATTCTTATCTGAATGAACTGGATACGATACACTTAGTTACCAACAACAAAAGTATTGCAAATTATATTTTGATACATACTTTTATGAATAGCCGATCATTAAAAAAGCATCACTATTTTTGAATATTTTGATTCAAGTATGAAAATATGATTCACAACAATTTTATTGTTAATAATAATAGATAAAAGCGATAAAATATTACTTTTTGGACAATAAATTATTCTAATTAAAAGATACAGAAATATGTAAAACGTTCGTTGAATATCTTCAATCTTATTTTCTTATTCTAATTATAGTTCAAACAATTTTTTCATTTCAAATACAAAAGAATTTATTATTTTCTTCAAAAAATAATTTTGCAGACATAAAATAATTTTCTCATTAGAAAAAAACTATAATATACTGGAGTGCATCCTCAAAGTATGCATAGTTCACAAAAGGTAACTGCGTATTTATATAGACTAGTAGTGCAGAACAAAACTGCTAAGCATACGTCTATTACACATTACTTTGACTCATTTATTTGACCTATTCGTTCTAATCGAACGATATGCAATAATATTTACATCATCATGATACGATTCTTTTGCTATTCTATATAATGCAATAGAAAAAAAAGGAAATAGACACCATATTATAGAACGAAAACGATTTTACTCGAAAATATCGATTCATACGTTATAACGTACAAGTTGGTATTTGTATTTTTTTTCTATAAACAAGAAATAATTCAAAATCGTTTATAAGTAAGTATTCATAATATTGATATATTCTTTAGCTAATAAAATACACATAATTAATTCCAAAATTTAGAAATATTTAGAATAACTATTTTACATTTATTCATATTATCAAATAATTATAAATAAAAACAAAAATGACTCACAATGATATTGGACATGTGTGTAAGTAAAATAAAATAAAATATAATCGATTAATTTAACATTGTTCTATTAGATAATCTTGATAAAACACAAACAGAAACTCTTAAAACTTGTTGGATAACATTATTAGAGAGGATTAGTAAAGAATCATCAATATCTATAGATGAAATTGTTGGGTCATCTCAAGGAGATGTATTATTTCGTTCAATTGGTTATGATAATCCAGATGTTCTTATGCTTCGATGGCTTCGTGCAAGAAAGTGGGATGTTAACGCTGCTGTTCAACAACTAATTGATACTCTTAATTGGAGATATGAACGAGGTGTTGATAAATTATTGGCTAAAGGTGAAAATGAACTTCTTATAGAAGAAGTAATGAGTGGCAAAGCTTATTTTATGGGTTATGATAAAATGGGTCGTCCAGTAAATTATATTCATGTTAAAGATCATATTAAAGATCAATTTCCTATTGAGGCAACCGAAAAATTAGGTATTTTATCAGTAGAAACTGGTCGAAAATTACTTAATGGGTCTATTGAAACTGGCACAGTTATTCTTGATATGAATGGTTTTGGTATGAATAACATGGATTATCAATTAGTCAAATTTTTTATTAATTTACTTGAAAGTTATTATCCAGAATCACTTGGTCTTGCACTTGTTATTCATCCTCCATTAATATTTTATAGTTGTTGGGCTATTATTAAACATTGGGTTGATCCAGTTATTCAAAATAAAATACATTTTCTTAAACATGAAGAAGAATTATTTGAATTTATTGATCCATCTAATTTACCTAAACGATTACATGGTACACATCCTGATTATAAATATATTCCACCAACAACTGAAGATAACAATATGTTAGCTGCTTTTCGTGCTGATAAACAAGGTAGAAAAATTGTTCGAGCAGCTCATCGAAAAGCTGCTCGACATTATCTTAATGTGACATTAAAATGGGCACATGGTGATGAAAGTGAAACTTTATTAGAAGAAAGAAAACAAGCAACTAAACAATTGAGAGATACTTTTGAAGAATTTGTTCCATATATTCATACTCGTACACATTATCATCGCATGGGATTAATTAATGAACCAATTTTTGATACTGCTTATGAAAAACTTCGTCATAGAAATGAAATGAAAATTGTACAATTTTAAATGTAATATTTATTTCTACGAAATTGACGCTTATATTTAAAAATCGTTTTCGTATAAACAAATCTCTTCTCCACGATGAGAGTTAAAGATTATCTATTTAGAGTATCAAACTAAGAATTTACATAAATTTAATGAATTTTAACAATTCTTTTATTTTTCCATACATATGAAGAACAATGATTGATCGTATTGTTCTTCGAACTGTTTCATTCCAGTAGAAAATTTGTTGTTTCCCTAGATAATCTTGATACTAGTATTTTGTACAATTGTACAATTTTGTGTTTATGTAGATAATGATTAAATGTAGCAAAAAATCAAATAGAAAGGTTTAAAAAAAAAAGCTACAAATGACTTTCTCGTAATAAACCATACTGATCTATACTCTCAATCAATATGAATTTATGATTCATAGTTGTAATTTATAACTTTGACTATTGTGCAAACAAATGTCATTTTCCCAAGTAACGATATAAATGACATGTTGGTAGATACCAACTAATTTACGTTTTTTCTATGATGATTCATTGTATATTTGTGTTCGTTTCTTCCGCTTTCATTACTCATCCATACCAACACCAAAATTTGGTTCTGCTCGTTTATTTCTGAGTAATTACGTGTAAATTTTCCTTTTTTCTCTATGCATGACTTGTTTATACAGTATATATAAAACATATACTATAAGACAGTATATCGTCTAGTTTTTTGTCCTTTTCATTGCATTTTCTCTTTTGATTTTGTTATTTTTCTAACGTATAATAATTCTATTCATACGACAATATTATGAGTGTACGCGTTGTAACATATAACTTATTGGTACCAAAGTTTGCTGAAAAGCCAGGATATTATATGAAGTCTCGACGGAAATTTCTAAGAATTGAATATCGCTGGCCATTAATTCAATCTCAGTTAAAACAAGAGATTCAATATCATCAGAATACTATTTTCTGTTTACAAGAAGTTAGTCGTACTCTATTACCGACATTGAAAGCATTTTTTCATCAAATGAATTATATAATGATTGAAAGTTTGTTCGGTGAACGGTACAATGACAATATGGGAGTAGCTATTGCCGTACCTGTTACAATGCCGTTATTTTATAAAAATTCTATCGCAGTTGGAGATCATATACGTTCAATTATTCCGTCATTTAAGAAAGATTTATTCAGTTTATCTACATGGCAGAATGCTCTAATGTATTCAGTTATAGATCAATCTAAACCATCGTCTAATAGTCTTTGGGAATCAGTTATGTCGTTAAATAATGCGCTCGTTTGTGTAGGAGTTCATATTCATGGAAGACCTTTATTTATCGGTACATACCATATGCCTTGTCTCTTCCAGATACCTGAAATTATGGTAATGCATTCTTCAGCAGTAAAAGATCTTATGTTTCAATTAGCTGCAGGTAATCCGTTAATTCTCGCAGGTGATTTCAATCTTCAACCTCATGATATCTCTTATCGAGCGATAACGGAAAGAGGTTACGCTCGGCATATTAAATTGCCACCAGTTGGTAATTATACGAAAAATTATCCATTTAACACTCGACAATTGTTAAGAAGTGCCTATCACGAGAAAAATGGCACTGAACCAAACTACACGAATTTTTCTACTACTCGAAAGACAAAGAATTTTTGTGCGACACTTGACTACATTTTTTTCTCTGGTAATCTCATTGTCAATGATGTATTACAATTACCAAATTATCCAACTGGTGAATCGTATCCTGACAGAACACATCCATCAGATCATCTAATGCTCGCAGCATCATTTCAATTGTTTTGAATAGTCATTGATATATTAAATGATTAAAAAGAATAAATTGTTGCATTGATTTCGTTTGAAAACCATTTATCATAAACTAAGCATACAGTAGCTATTAGCCTTATGGAATGAGTTTTAATGACTATACCTTTTACTAGGAAATTTGATATATTCTGTAGTTCTTAATAATATGGAATATATCTCGCTTATGGTTCGATAAAGCAAAAAACGTTTTTTAATAAAAAGTTTCTCATGTAATTTTCTAAAATACATAGATATTTTTATTATCTTAAATAATCTTGAGGGCATGAATCTGTATATAGATTCTTGCTATTGTAGTAACCTTCCACATCCACAATCAAACTCTCTAAAATATTAGTTTTAATATTGATGAATTATCTTATTCTTAGTAGAATTGTCGTGATAAATCAGAACAAATGATCAGATCTGGTCTATGATAAAATAAATATAAATTATTAAAAAGCATTAGATATATTGGTAAAATTCAATGAAAACTATATTTTGAAATTACTTTTTAAAAGAATTTATTTTTGATTATAGTTTAAAAGTTTAACTGACAAATATTGAAGTAAAGTGAATAAAAGCAGTGCGAACAAAAAAGAGAAAAATTATAATTATGATAATAATATAGTAACTTATTAGTCATAAAGTGAGTAAATATGATCAAATAATAACATAAAACTTGCAAGATTATGAGTAGTTAACATATTCATGTGTGACACGTTAGAAGAATAGAAAGTTTATTTAGGAACGATTTTCGACGGTCCATATGCGGTCTTAGCATTTACTGGTGACTTTTTAGGTGGGATGGGCCGCTTTGGATAGGGCATAGTTGAATCAGTAGTAGTATTTGTTTGATTTGTATTTGCTGTAAGTATCCGTTGATTACCATTTTGTTTTTCTGGCTTGGGTAAAATAAAGAAAAGAACTATTCCAAATATTCCCAATACCACTCCTTGAGATAGAATAGCATACGTTAAAGGTGAGAACGACAACTTCGTAACGAGTAAGCCAATAATGGCACCACCGCTAATTGCAATAAATATAATAGATAATACGAGGGTTTTCTTGCATTTTCCAAGATAAATAACTACAGCCAACATTGTTGTAAAGAAACCAATAAGAGCAATAGCTATACCTAATTGATCAAGAACACTTTTGGTTGTTTGCTGAAGAATAATCCATCCGAAACACCATGCAGTTGCATCGGATATATTGGTGCCAAATTGAGCTTTTTCCAAAGGTTTACAGTAAAAGCTTACATTATTTGTTATGGGACTAATAGCACTCTTCCCGAAAATGAAGCAATCCGTTTTATATTCAGGGCAATCATCACCTGGTAAAAGTCTGTCACTTGATAAGAAACAGCCTTGAAACAGGAGCACAGCCGTAATAGAAAGTGTCATTCCTCCAAGTAAACAGCAAAACATACAAATATAAAAGATAGATTTTTGCTTTATGCGAACGAATCTCTCTTTTAGTGAAGTATGATAATCATCAGGATCCAAAGATTGATTTCCGATATTGCGTTGTCCAATACCTTGTCCATTGTAATCACTATGCGCTTTACTCGGGTTAACACCAATGACTCGTTCAACAATAAATTCTTCACCTGCTTTTGAGTTAAAGAAGGTAACGAATACGCCAATAATGGCAACGAGCACAAGACCTATTGAAATACCATAATCGGCTACAGTATAAGTAAGATATGTCCATTCCATATTGCTAGCTCAATGTCGTCGCTCTACAATGAAGTATGCGTTCGTGATAAAAAAAAGTAAGTGGTATGAGTTTACAAGAGCAGTAGCTTTTTTTCTATTACTAAGTAGACAATATTACGTCTGTCGCTAAAATGAAACTCACCAGTCACGGCTGGAAATATTTTTTTCTCAAGCAAAATAGTTAAACACAGTGAAGAAAATATAACAGCCAATGAAATTTTAGAAGAATATATTTATATAAAGAAAAAAGAAAAAAAAATATAAAATAATGAACCTTAATCAAATTCTTCTCCTTTAGCTTTCTTACTTTAAACTATTGTAGTTTACTTTGTTTTTGTGTACTCAAAAAGTGAGTACACTTCTAGAATCGGTCAGTGTGTCCGGCCGTCCGTCCGTCCGTCCGTCCGTATACACGATAACGTTTGAAAGAATAGTCCGATTGAGCTGAAATTTTGTACACAATTTAGTCTCATATAGATCTCGGTCGAGTTCGAAGATAAGCCTAATTGGCCGCGCCATTCCAGAGTTATTGAAAAAATACTGATATTTCCCTATGATTTTTCTATATTTTTTTGGGGAAAAAAGTAATATAATGCCCTTCTCGTAAGCAACTTTTCTACCAGAGTTAAATAAAATTCCACTTATTATACAGCATTCAATAGAGACTTTCAAAAGCTACAAGATGGCACTAAATTATAGGGGTAAACGGGTTGCACACAAGATTGTCCCTATATAACATAGTGGGTAAACTATAGAAAACTCATATATGTTGATAATGTGTCAGCGCGATATTTGTTTGTTTTTCATATTACTAATAACACTTTTTCTAGAGTAGATGGAACTCATCAAGAGCTTGAAAGTGATGTAAAATAATAGGAGGTAGATATGCTGCATTCGATATGTCTTTAGTATCACACTTGTGAAAAACCATGAAAAAGCCACATACCTTAATAGTGTGCCTGTGTGATATTCGTTTGTTCTCCGTAGAGTCAACGTTATTTTTATGTATTCGAAAAGTGAAGTTCACAATAGATTGATGTTGATCAATCTGTCTGAAAGAATTCATCCTTGAGCGCATTAAGGAACTACCCCTTAGTCCCTGCGCATACCTTCTTTTTAATGTACTGAAAAAGTGAGTACATTACTAGAATCGATCAGTATGTTCGGCCAGCCGTTTATACGATACCTTGCGAAAGGAGAGTCAGATATTGATGAAATTTCTACACAGTTTAGACTCATAAAGATCTCGGTCGAGTTCAAAGATAAGCCTAATTGGCTGGGCTATTCCCGAGTTGTTACAAAAATACTGATATTTTCCTATGACTTCCATATACACTTTTTGCAGTACACATAACTCTCGGATACAATCCGAAGTTTCCACATTTATTTTAATAAGGAATATATATCTAGCGAGAAACTATAGAGTATACTGCGTCATATGGCAGATAAATAAGAAAATAGAAATGAAACAACAAACACATACATCAAAAAAAAAAGATCTATTTCTTCTCACTATAATATATACTTTATCTAAATCAAAATAAAGCACAATATTTATTTATGTACACAATATTATAAACCATTACGTCCTTCTCTTTTCAACCCTAAAGTATTTTATATCAAACTTCACGTATTTTTGGCGTAGAAAATGACGGTGTCAATAATTCTAAAACTAAATAAAAAAATTTTCTTGGATATATTTTTATATGATTCGATCAAGTTTTACAAAACTGTCTATCTATTTATTGAAAAGAATTTGTAAACTTTTTTTGGGATAAAAAATTCAAAAGGACTAGTTGAAATACCTTAAAAAGTCATTAAAAAAACTTCTTTTTCTCTATAACGAAGAAAACCATTTGATATTCAAATAAAATTGCTTTTTTTAATTATGTTTGTTGCTTTAAACATATCCATATATACTTATCCAACACAATTTTTTATGCTGCATCGAACAATGACATTGGATATGTTTACAGTAATAAAAATTATTAAAAAAAATAATATTATTTAAATATCAAATGGTTTTCTTCTTTACTGTGAACAAGAAGTTTTTTTAATGGCATTTTCAGTTATTTCACCTAGTTTTTCGAATATTTCATCTACAAAAACGCTTAAAAATTCTTCAATACATATAGAGTTTTATGAACCTTGATGAGCTCTATTGAACTATGTAAAAGTCGATACTGTAAATTTTTCATAGTCTCTGCTATTCAGTATCATTTGTTATTGATATATCAATAATCAAAAGATCACATTACTTTAAAAAATATCTATACAATATCCTCTAATCGTTATTTCGAAATAAAATAGTTCAATAATATCAATAAAGTTTGGACAAAAACTGAAAAAGAATAAGAAAAATACTACGTATGTAAAGTGCTAGCTAATAAACATTTTATTTGTTCGCTAATGTCTCCCTTTGCCAAACAGATGTAGTATATTACATCGAGAGAGAGAAAATGAACAACTGTAAAAAAAAAAGAAAAATAATATGTGAAACTTCGATTAATAATGTATAAAAAGAAAGAAATTGAGTAACATCTAATAAACTTCATTAGATAGAAAAAGAAATAAAAAAACTTGTTTCACTGCTACTGCACCTGACTTGGAATCAGACCGGCTGGTCTGTCGGGTGTGTGATATGAATGTGAATGTTCGTATAATTATCATTATTTACATTCAGATCTTCGAAATACACAATTACTACGAATCTGTGATCTTCTATTTTAGGAAGAAAATTAATAAGACTGATTCTCTATATAAAATAGAATCTTATTGAAAATAACTATGAGAGTAAATATATATCGAAGTTATTTACTTTTCCTCTTATCGCTCAACAAAAAAAATAGACAATTTTTTTCATGTATTTTACCTGATAAAAAAAGTTAAAGAATAAAAAGAAATAAAAGGATAAATATATAATATACTCTCATGATTAGAATATTTCATTTATATTCATATAAATCTTAATGTATTTTTATTTCAATTCGATTCTGTTATCTAAATATTTTTTCAATAAAATACCTTTGTGAATAAACATTGAACTCATTTTTCTAATTTAAACAAAATGAAATAATACTAATCTTGAAATTTGTAATAACTAATTTAATGTAGAAATAAATAAACATAATCTAATCAATTCTTAAGTTTTTATATTTAATCAAAAAAAATTCGATGTTAAGTATACGATCATTATCGACCTATGCATATAGATGTTAAACTGAATACAAAATAGAAATATGAAAAAAAGATAGAAATTGTTTGACTTCAACTGAAATCAACATAAATATAATATTTTAATCATAATCACTCAAGTTTTAATATAATAATGTATGAAATATATGATATCGTGAGATTTTAACGAACACATTTGTTTCATTATCTATAGATTGAGAATTTTCTGATTAAAAACATATGTGTGTAAATACAAAACCATTCTTTCTTTATTTCTCTTTACTAAAATTTATTTAATTCATAAGTTTTTATAACTAAACAAAACTTTTTTATATTATATTTTCAAAAAAATCAAGTCATTTGAAAGAAGATAAAGAAGAAAAATCAATTTCAATAAATATTGATGAAATTTTATTTCCTTCACTTTTTTGGATAATTTCAGCTCAAAATGATAAAAATAAAATAAAAAATTTTCTTCAACAATTTTCCCATTTAAATGTATTAGATTGTGTTGATTATGATTATCGTTCTGTTTTACATGTTGCTGCTGCTGATGGAAATTTAGAAATAATTCAATTCTTACTAGAAATTTCTTCAAAAGAACATTTTCAACAAATTCTTTTACGAGAAGATCGATGGGGATTTGCTCCATTAGATTATGCATATCAAAATGATCATCTTCATATATCTCAATTTTTAAATGAGTATATGAATAATAGTATATCTTATCCAACAATTATTCAATTGGATAATCAAAATCAAATTGTGAATTTATTTAAAATTATTTCCATTCAAATCAACTTTATGATGATTATCATCAACGAACACCAATGCATATTGCTGCAACAAATGGACATTTAAATGTTGTACAAATTCTTCTTCAATATGGATATGATGGTATTACACATAAAGATCGATGGGGATTTTATCCGGTTAATGAAGCAAGAAAAAATCATTTTTATGAAATTGTCAACGAATTACAACAAAATACTTTATAAAAGAATTTTTAATGTTTTAAACAAAATAATTCTTTCTTTTTTTCTATTATAATTAATAAAGAAAATTATTTTTTGAAAAATCAAATCTAAACTATCATTCATCATATGAATAGTATTCAGTGTGAAACAAATCAAGTAAAAAATATCAATAAGTGGAGATAATTCAAGATATATATCTACCAACTTGGATTTAACTTAATGATAACTATTTATTTGAAAAAAATATATTATAATTTTTTTTATTTTATTACTTGAACGCAAAAAATGAAATAAAAAAAAAAGAAACATGACAATATTAATTATGTCATGCTTTTCTGTTTATCTTGAGAGTATATTGTAAACAGCATTTCCGAGGACCTAGATGTGAACAACAGCTGGAAAGTATACACCTACTCACCCACTAACGTATCTGAGATAGGATCTTATTTAGATTTTGCTTCATACCATATAAATATATAACTAATTCAGATTTATTTTTTTTAGATAAAATAAATCCTTACAATAGAGATAAGTCTCAGATAGAAAGAATATAATTCTTTTCTTGTTGACATCAAGTTATAATTTATTAATAAAACCAATAAAAAGCCTTACATACAAACTAAATACATCTATATATAATATTTTATTATTTTTATTATGTGCTTGATATCTGTTATATAAGATTTATTTATTTATAGATTATTTGCTGTAGTGGACGAAATAATCGTATTAATTCTTTTCGAAATATAGTACCACATAAAGTGTTGATATAAAATGTAATGATATTATTAAGAAATAAAGTAATAACAGATATATTGAATATTGTATTTTCAATTGATTGACGTAATTTAGATTTTGTTTCATGAATTGTTCCAATAGAATAGAGTTTGTAAATACTAATAGGAAATGTAGAAATAACGAAAACAATAACCTAGAAAAAGAAATAAAAAATTATTATTTTACAACATTTTTTTTCTCTCTAATTACTTGTACAAGTAACATTGTAACCAATTGAATATCACGTCTTTTTATTCTTTGATTATTTACAACGTTTCTAGGATTTCCTAACTGCTGTATTACAGAAGAAGGATTTCGAGTTGATGAATTATTTGTTTGTGCTGGATAACATCGACGATTGCGTCTATGACGAATATTTCGTAAAGTTAAAGATCCAAATATAATCATCATTAATGTTGGTGCTAAGATTTCAAATAAAAATTGCATTAAACTATCAACAATTTGACATCGAATATTTCGTTTCAATTGATAACATGATTGTGGTGCACCAAATAATTGTTGATGTATATCAATACAATAGAATTGTTCACCATATATAAATATTCCCAATAACATAACAACGATTATCGAAAGATAAGCACGCTTCATTGTAACCAATTGACGTTTGTAGATATCTATTGAAGAACAAAGATATCGTTCAATACAAGCTAAACCAATAAACCATGCAGCTGAATATCCTGAATAATAAGTTATGAAAAATCTTAATTTACAAAGTACAGATGAATTTTGTGTTGGATCAATATTAAATCCAAGAAGTAAACGTGGAAAAAGACTAATAACAATAACAAATGAATCAAAAATAGTTGATGACAAAAAATAAATAACACAAATATTATTACGAAAGATTTTACGTGTAAATACTAAGATATTTAAAATATTTCCAATAATACCAAATAGAAGAAGAGGAATAGGAGCATAACGATTTATTGATTGATTTATTAAAGCAAAGTTTATTGAAATCGATACGGATGTATTATTCATGTTAACTGTATAGAGAGAGAGAAAGATATACACTGATCTTTCTTCGAGCAATTCAAGAAAATAATTAGAAAATGTTAAGAAAAACGATTCTAAATAAACATATCTCATTTAAGTGATCTTGAGAAAAATATTGTTTTTTTTATAGAACGGAAATTGTTTAAAAAGGAATAGAGTAAAACATATCTTTTTGAAGCTTACTGAAACCTTCTATTTCATCACATGATAGCTTAATAATCGAATTTTGATGACAAACAAAGGAAGTTGATTATTACATAAACAATTTCTTAATACCAAATAAAATATTGTATAACAAAAAGAAACAAGTATTACTGCTCACATTTATAGATTTCTTTAATATATTCAGAATTGAATAACCTTATAATTCCCAGTTCAAAATAATTCGACGAGATGATATTCTTAAAAAATATGGAATAAATAAAAAAAAATCTCATAATCATTGTTTCTAATTTAAATATCACACAGACAAATGGAAATTATTAAAAAGAAGAAAACATCGAATGAAGATACTGTAATTTATTATACATTTTTTTCTCATAAAAACTAATTATAATTGTTAATTAGACTGAGGATGTTTATACGAAGTTAGTGACTGTATTTGTTGTCTCTTATACCAGCATTTACATCATTTTTCTCACATATCTAAATCATTGAATTAATAATAAAATCAAAATCGATTGATGAACTCTGAGTGTAATTTGTTTTCAAAAGTTCATATCAAATATTGTATTGTTATTATAAGAAATATTTGTGAATACTTTAAGATCATTCGGAAATAAATTCTATTAAAAATATCTTTAGAATGAGCATATTTGAGTATGAATTATTGCTAAGAGTGACTTACATTTTGTTCTACATATCGACAACTTTCTATCACATTTAAATAAATTATAGAAATTCTTTATTCATCAATGAAATTTAATCAATCCTAAAAAACTTATTCTTAATCTTGATTTTAACTTTTCATATATTTTTACTATTCAATTGTCTTAAAAAGATTAATTAAATAAGTGAACTCAAAATTTTACTTCGAACTCTATTTCAATCAATATTCGTATTATTTAACTTATGTTTTTTTAGATAATTAGTAACTAAAATCGAGTCAATATATTTGTATACAAAATATTCCAAAAGTCTCTTGAGGAAAAAAAATTTCGTTTTATTATTGTTTATTACTTTATCTAACATTATTAGTTATTTTCTCAATTAGAAATGATGAATACATCGAGTAATAATTTAATTATTTGAATTTTACTTGATACCATTTAATTCATTCTTTGAAGTAAACGACATGAATTATGAAGCATGTTTAAAGTTATAATCTAACAATAAGAACAAATCAGAAGTGTCTCTTTAAACTTAATTTTTAGAATATGAAATCGGATCTTTTCAAACTACTAAAGTTTTTCTGAGGATCAACGAGTTAATATAGATCTGAAATAAATATGAGATCTACATTGTCACTCTTACTTGAAAAGTGTCGCCACTAACTACGATATTCATTTTCATCAAAAAACACGTATTCCAATTGGTTGATTATATTGATCAATTTTTTATCTAATTGTATCCATAATTTTCTCTCTGCTTGTTAAACAACAGATCTATAATGACATAAAATGATAGATTAATTTGACATTTTGTTTAAATAAATAATATTTGAATTTATTTTTATATATACATATTCTAAAACAGATTTCTCTTGAATTTTCAAGTTTTGTTATTTAATTAATCTATCGTTAATATTGATATATTTTTCGATGTCATCCAAAGAGAATATTTATATTGGACATATTCTACTCATAATAATCCTTTATCTTCTCCAAGGATTTATTCAAGGTTTTACATCATCAATTCAATTATATTTAGCTTCTTATAAAGCATCATGGCAACAACAAGCAACATTTAGTTGGGTTTTTTATCCGTTTAGTCTTAAAATTCTTTGGGCACCTATATTAGATTCAATTTATTATTATAGATTTGGTCGTTATCTAACATGGTTAATACCTATTCAAATAACAATTGGTATTATTCTAATTACTATGTCATTCTATTTAGAATCTCTATTAATTAATCTAGAAATTCTTCCATTAACATTTATATTTATAATTATATATTTTCTAATAGCAAGTCAAGATATTGTTGTTGATGGATGGTCTGTTGTATTATTTTCTAGTTCAAATCCACAATGGGCATCAACTGGTCAAACAATTGGACAAGTTATTGGATATTTTCTTGCTTCAACAGTATTAATAACATTTGAATCATCAAATTTTACAAATACATATATTCGTGAACCTCTTTCTTTACCTAAACGTTCATCAGGATTATTTACTCTTCAACAATTTACTTTCTTTGGTGGTATCGGATTTTTCATCATTAGTATTATTATTTCAGTAATCTTCTTTTTTAAAAAACCATCCTATAAAACAATAAATGTTAATGTACAAAAAAAAATATATAAAAAATTAGACTTATTTGAAACATATTCATCTATATTAAAATTATTTCAAAAACAATGTATGCGCAAATTTACTTTAATATTATTAACTTTCGAAGTTGGATTTGCAGCAACTAATTATATGACTACTTTATCACTATCAGAGTAAGTTTAACTTCCAGACTCATTTAATTCTAATGTGAATATATATAAATAGATATGGTATAACACGTGATACTATTGCTCTTGTCAACATTCCTCCAGTTGTATTATATATTATTATACCATTGTATATGAGTAGAATACGACGTCCTTTAAAATGGTTTGCTTATGGTTATATTCCTCGTTTAATCAGTGCTCTTATTTTGGCTATTTATATACATTTTATCCCAGATATTATTCATACATCATATTTTTATCCTATTCTAATTATTTTATTTTGTATGAATCAAGCAGCACTCTATATAATGGTAGTAGCACGTGTTGGATTTTGTGCACGAATTAGTGAACCAGAAATAGCTGGAACATATATGACATTATTAGCAACTATATCCAATTTAGGTCAAAGTATTTTATCAACATTAGTATTGTATATTGCAAATTGGTTACCTAAAACACATGCGTATTCTATTGAAGTGGGTGGATGTATTATATTTGGTTTAATATGGATAAGATTGTTTTGGTATACATTAAGAGATTTGGATAATTTACCTGTTGAAGAATGGTATTTAAAACCTCCAACTGATGTTAATATCACAGTTTTTTATGATACTAAAGATACAGTCAAATACAATTGAATGCAATGTCTATATTTATATTTAAAACAATAGAATTAGTTTTCTATTCGAAGTAATTATCAATACAGTCATTTTTTATTTGAGAAATTTTCTCTGTATGAGATAGAAGTATAATATATCTCGATAATGTATTTTTTTGACATAGATTAATTTCATCGTTGTATTTTCAATTTAGATTACGATAGAATTTTTCTATTTTTAACGACTAATTTTTTTGTTTTTGTATAAAAACAATGTGAACAGTTGATAAATAAATAACAGAAATTGTTATAATACATTCTATCTTATTTTTTTCCGTTGGCAGAATAAACATTCAGAATGTTAAATTAAAAAGAATGAAGATATTTTTTGCATGATAAAATTTTTCATTTTATAAGTATACTTTTGTGTATATTATCTACTACAATAATATATCTCTCAAAATGTGTTCCACGTACGCCAGTAATATTTATTAGCATGTGTTATATTAAACACAGCGAGTTAGTTACGCATACACGATATTTTTTGTTCTTATACGATAATAGAAGAACACGTTTTTGATCGACCATGAAATTTATTAATGATAATATATATCCTTATGTTGAAAAATTGACAAGTCAGTAGTGCATATAAATGTATGTTTGATTATTCGAAACTGTGTATTACTATAGTACATAGACAATTGTGTGAAACGCACAGGTGCATAAATACCGAATTTTTGAACATCATTATCAAGAAATCATCAAGTAGAGAATGGGTATGTTATTTTGAACTGTATTTGAAAACAATTCTGAGTATCAAGATTGATTTTTGAGGAAACAAAGATATTGCGAAATGTTATATCATCGAATATAGATAGGTTTTTAGAAATTTTTAGTACAAAACATTATATTTTTTCGTCCTGACTATATTTCACATTGCACTTGTGATTGACTCTTTTGTTGTGAAAGACAAATTTGTGATTAATAATCATTAAATGTATTTGTTTTGATAGAGAAGATTATTGTAACTCACAACGTATAGTATAGAAAAAAAATATTCTTCGTTATATGTTTGTGCAAATATACGAATGTATGAATAATTATTTTGTTCAAAAAATAACTATAAAAAACAATCTGTATTTGTAACAATTTTTGATATAATAGGCATCACTTTAGATTTAACGTGCAAATGTATATTTATATCGAACATTAATAATCGTGGTTACATTGTATTTCAAGGTTCGTGATATACTTTGAGGAGTAAAAGTTTACATACTAATAGAAGTATGGAGTTAAAGGACAAGTTCGAGAGAGAATAAAGGTTTCATCGTCCCATGAAGATGAGATACATATATGATAAAAGGACAAACTAATAAAATGATCTCTAAATATCAAAACAAGGAGAAAAATACCTAGGAGAAAAATAAATAAGAAGTAATAAAAGCGGACATCGAGATTATTCCTTCTAAGGGTAGGTAGTAGATTGTTACTGTATTATATGAGCATTCTTCAAATATTTATTATACAAAAGTTTCTAGAATCAAACTATCTTATCATGACTTTCAAATACATATCTATGCTTTTGTATGATTCATTACAATCTAGTACAAAAAATAGTTGAAATCTGATATATTTTTGAATTTGTATTTATTCAGGTCTTTCTTTAGATTCTCATCAGGAAATGATTGAAATCCAAGATAAAGAATCTACAGTCCTTACGACGGATATTTCAAACAACGACAAGTCTGAAGAGAAACTCAAACGTGATTTAAAAACTCGACATATAACTATGATTGCTATTGGTGGAATTATTGGTCCTGGTTTACTTGTAGGTTCAGGTACGGCATTAGCATCTGCTGGTCCTGCAGGTGCTTTAATCGCTTTTGCTGCGACAGGAATAATTGTTTTTTTCGTTATGCAATCGCTCGGTGAGATTTCTACAGCAATTCCTGTCAGTGGTGCATTCATGGATTTTGCGGGTAGATTTTGTGATCCTGCTCTTTCCTTCGCTCTTGGTTGGATCTATTGGTATTTATGGATTACACTTCTCGCTAATGAATATAATGCTATATCAATCGTCATCATGTACTGGACTCATATTGTACCTCAATGGGCATGGATAATTGTATGCTGGTTACTCTTTCTTGGACTCTCACTTGTCGGTGTTCTTGTTTATGGTGAAATGGAATTTTGGCTTAGTCTAATGAAGATTTTGGCGATTCTTATTTACTTTATTCTTGCAATTTTAATAGATATCGGTGTTATTGGAGGCGATTATATTGGTATGAGATATTGGCAAAATCCAGGTTCATTTTCAGATGGAATTAACGGTGTAGCCAAAGTCTTTGCCATTGCTGGTTCACTCTACGCAGGTGTTGAAATTGTTGGTGTTACTGCTGGTGAATGTCGAAATCCACGACGTGCTGTTCCACGAGCAATTAAACAAGTGTTCTGGCGAATTGTAGTATTTTATCTTGGTACGATATTCTTTATCGGTCTTTTAATTCCTTACAACTCGCCTCAACTTCTTTCTGCACAGTCTAAAGCAGCTGCATCACCTTTGACTATCTCTCTAAAAGATGCGGGTATCCGTGTGGCTGCTCACATCATTAATGGGTTAATTGTTTTGTCTGTTATATCTGCTTGTATGTCAACCATCTATGTCGCATCACGAACTGTTTGCTACTTAGGTAAAACAGGAAGAGCACCAAGATTTCTTGGAATCACTGATAAACGTGGTGTTCCATATTGGGCTATTCTTTTTAGTAATTTGTTCGGTTGTATCTGTTTTATTAGTCAAGGTCCAGGTGGAGTCGGTGCTGCTTACACGTATATAATCAATCTATCCGGTGTTGCTACATTTATGGTTTGGGCAGTTATATGTCTCACACATATTCAATTTCGTCGTGGGCTGAAAGCACAAGGAGTAAGTGTTAATGAATTACCATTTCGAGCAGCATGGTATCCTTATGGTGCTTACTTTGGTCTTGGTGCTAACATCTTCCTTATATTCTTCCAAGGATATAGTAGTATGCTTCCACCATTCAACTTAGTCTCTTTTACAGTCTCATACATTCTCATTCCTGTATTTTTTATTCTCTTTTTTGGATACAAATTTTCTAAAAAAACTCAATGGATTCAACCATCTCAAATGGATATCTGGTCTGGTAGACGTGTATATGAAGAAGAGGTGAAAGAAAAGAATCAAACGATCTGGTCACATCTTAAAAACATTATTCTATAATATATAAAAAGTTATTTCAATTAGAATCCATATCAGCTATTACACGTATACTTTCTTTTTAGCATTAGTTTTTTTATTTTATAAATAATAGAACATAAGTTTATCATTTAGTTAAAAATAAATAAATAAAACTATATATTATAGTCGAATCAAAAGAAACAACGCAGAATCGTGAGGGTGCGGATATGTCTGGATACGAAATAATAGTTTATATTCATGCCAATTATTACTAATCTTGTAACATTCTGGATGATTATTAACCGTATTTTCGAACAATGAAAGGATTTATGAGAAAACTTTAACAAATTATATCGTATAAAAGCCATGAAAGAGGATGAGACTACAGATCGAGATCCACGTTAAAATATATTTTACAATCTGACATGTGCATCGAAGTGGGCGATATTTATTATAACAAATACTTCTCTTTTACGCCAAAAAAAAACATTTCACAAAATCATGTCTGAAAAGTTCAGTTTACAAATCGATTTCAAAACTTAATCGGAACACTTCGAAAATATATTGATGTACTATATTTAAGTTCATTCTTCGAAAGACAAAATAATAAAATGAAACTGATGATTATGGATAATCAATTGAGGAACAAATTTCACAATGAATATGATAAATGTTCCGATTTTGATGATGATCTTAAACATCAATAAATTTTTGTATAACTACAGAATTGGATTCATTTAATGTAACTACAATTAATGAATCGTTAATAACCAGTGCACCCACTTGAGAATGATCAACTTGTACCCAGCCTGTCCATTCACCCAATCGTATTTCACTATGAATGACTTGACTTTTATTAATATAATGATAAATAAGGCTAGTAGCGAGATATGGATCAGGTCCAAATGACATAAATGTAGTCCATATATTACCAGTATTAGAATCAATTCCGATGAATGATGATGTCAATTCCAAGTCTTTGTAACTTGCATTTGTCAACAATATTGAAGAAGAATTCTCTTGTGTAACAAAATTCCATATACGAAGTTCAGTCAAATTATTTGGTCGTGTTATATTAGACCAAATGATAGTGTCGATATCACTTAATACTGCACCACCAACTAAATCTATAGGAAATATGCCATCCATTGGCTTGTAAACCTTTCTTAATTCCAGAGATTGTCGTTCAAGACTTATGATTCCAATACCATTCATCATTACAAAAATATCATCATTAAATGGAATATCCCAAATATCAGACAATCCTAAATGTATTTCAAACGATGAAGCATCGAATTGGCGCAATAATGAACCATTAATAATAGATATTTCTGCGACTAAAGTAGCCGAACTCATAAACTTTGTACTTATTAATGCATATACACTTGTACAGTTGGGAGTATCGAATGCACGTTCTAATACGACAATAGAATACTGTGTCGACATATTTACTGGTACAACTGTTACAGACTCAAATGGATGTATATCTGTTCTTGTTAAGAGTAAGACAGTTCCATTGGGAGAAAGAAAACTTCCTAAATGTAACACAGATACTGCTATTGTAGTGTTGATCGGAAGCCATTCCATAGTAGATAATACATTAGAACTAGCAAATGCGACAGTTGATAAATTAAATGACATTTGCGTGACATTTGATGATAATGCCCATTGTATGTCAAATACTTGTTTTCCATGTTGTTTCAATTTTGCAATCATCGAACTTGGAGCAGAAACGACATTATCCAATTGAATTAAAGCAATTACATGAACAATAAATATTAATAATATAACTATACAAAAAGTGTTTCTTTTCATTTCAGAGAATCTACAATAATAAAATTCAAATGATACACGTACGCTTTTCAACAAATTCTAAACGAAGAAGTATCGAACGGATATTAGCAATTGTCTAGCGATTTTATTTTATTAAGATTTTTCTCACTTTGAGTTGCTCACGTGTCAAAATACAATCGAAATAATTTCGTAAAAATATGATTTCTTTGTCGAGTTCAGAATAACGAAGAGTCTCAAGCGTTATGTTAATTAAAAAAAAAGAAAATATTTAGCTAACAAATCTCAATATTTATTTATAACTGTTCTGCTATAGTCTGATACAAACTGTAATTAAAAATACCGCAATAGGCAGATTTTCTTCAATAACCTATTCCAAACAATTATATATAATCTTTCAGTTTTAACTTACGTAGACATATCTCATTATTATTGGTGTATGCGATCGATTTCATTCAGAAATATGCATCAAATTGCTTCTGTTTTCATTTTCACAAGAGAATCAGAATGTATATTCCACTGAAAATTTTAGTGGGCAAGATGGAGATAAATATAAAGCGTACATGAAGAATGACAAAACTTGTTATCAACGGAGTTCTTTTTTATGACATTTCTTTTTCATTCTTCTTTTGATAGTGTGATGAGGCAAGATAAGATAAAGACAGATGTGTATATCGAAAAACTCATCTACTTTTATCCTCCTGATAGTTTGTTCTTTTTTCGGTCAAAAGAAATTCTTGTGTTAAAGAGGTAGTATTTAATAATTAAAGTTATTTGAAAGGATTTCTTGAAATCCTTTGTAATGTGAAGATATTCTCATGGAAAAGTTTTTATTATTTTTCTTTATTTGAATAAATATAAAAAGAATTGTTTGTTTTATAAAAACTGAACGTTCAATAAATGTTCAGAAAAAGTGGTATCGTTTCCTTTCGTAGAAAGTATTTTCAACCATGATCAACTTTCATCTTATGTATTTTGCTATTGTTAATATAGGTGTCGAATTTGACTTTCTTAATTGATGTGGGTGTTCTCTTTAGATCAAGAAGGACACCCACACCTGCACCTTCAAGATCATATAAATCTTAACAATAAGATTAAATGCAATACTGAGAATAATATGCCTTTATAGAAAGATATTTAGATAAGAAAATAAATTCATCTTATATTCAATTTGACATATCATATTCATATTGATAATAATAGTAGTTATATACCATAAATAGCAATTCTAGTTTTAGCCTTAATTTGCATTTCAATTTTAGTATAACATTGCAAATAATAGACACTTATCTTTTAATTTATGAATAATGAGTTGAAAGAGAAATAAGATAAGACTGACAGAGTCATAAAAAATACTGACGAATAAAATTCATCCCTTTTCAGACAATATCTCTAACAACTACGGAGTTAATCAAGTTGATGAAATATTAGGTTTTGAAAAACAGACAAAAAGAAACTGTATATTATTATAATGATGATAAGAGCTCAATGATCATACTTAAAAAAGAAAACACGATACGAAAAAAATTCTCTATAGAGTCTTCTACATAATTTTATTCTTTAAACGGACATATTAAAATAAACTAATGACTATCAAAGATTATAAATAATATTCCCATTTGTTGCAAAACCTATTTTAGTAAAAGCTAGTTTGAAAATTTTAATTTGTTGTTTATTATAACTCAACCCATATTTAACATCATCAGATAACATCTGTCTGTCTCAGCGCATAAAAAGTTTTTAATTAAAAAGCATTAAAAGATTTTTAGAAGTTAATTTAGTATGAATTAACTAAACATAATTTTTTTAGTTATTATTCTTCTTGATGATATATTTAGCATATGAAAAAGTGAACTACTTTTGTATTACTTCACATTTTTCAAATTTTCTACTGTTACTTTGAGAAATATCTGTTTAACATTTTACAAGAAATGTGAATGATTCATCCATGTCTTTAGATTTATTAAGGCGTGGATAAATGAGCTGTGATATTTCATTCATCTTTCATCAAAACCCAGCACTCTCAAGGTTATATAGTTCCTTGTGATAACTAAGCTTTTAAATCCCCTAAGCGCTTCCATTAATATTGATAAAAGACAACATAAATGCATTTCATAATTAAAGGAAAAAAAAATAACATCCGTAAAAGAATCCTATTACACAGAATAAAACAATAATTATCAATCAATACTTTTCACAATACCAATTATATATCTAGTTAAGCCATTCTTTCAAAAATATATCTCGAAACTAGTTAGAGTAATTAAATAGAACATATTCAAGGACGCTTCTTATCTGTCATAGTTATAGTAGTTTTATAAAAATAATTTATATTTCCAGTCATGCTCCAACACAAATGAGACAGCTATATATATAGAAAGAGAGACAGACTTCAAAAAAGAAAAAATGATGTGAAAGCATTACCGTAAGAATAATATTATTAATGTTAGAGAATATTACAAAATAGTTTTTACCTCTTATTGCTATCTCAACTTTTATTTTCAACAAGATGCTAGTCATAACAAGAACCGATCAAGATCTTATCTATCATGTTAAATTCTTCATAATTCTTTTCTTACTAATTCCAGCAATTATTCTCTTTCTATTCATTTTCACATTCTTTATGACTAGTTGCATTCAACTACGCAAACTACAATATCAAGCACTACTAATCCTATTCATTGTTAATTTTGTTCAGTTATTAATTAACATACCCATGGTCGTACATTTTCTTCGTCTCCATGTTATTAGTCCAGCAACAGGTGCATATTGTAAAACTTGGATGTATATTGAATTCACTCTTGAAGCAGTAAACAATTATTTAGTAGCTGTCATATCTATTCAACGACACACACTTGTCTTTCGACCAAATCTATTTCGTACACGTTTCAAATGTTATCTTTTCTACTATTTACCACTTCTATGTTGCATTATTTATCCGGTTACTTTTTACATGGGTGCTGTTGTGTTCTATCCATGTGATCCTGCACAATGGAACTTCACATTAAACATGTGTGGTGATACAATTTGTTTTTTTTCAGACAGTGAAGTACTGGCTACATATGATTGGATAGTGAATAGTGGCTTACCAATTATTATTATAATGTTGGCCAATTTATTACTCATCGTAAGAGTTGTTAAACAAAAATCTCGTAGACAAAAAACTATTTCATGGGCGAAACAAAGACGTATGACATTGCAACTAGTTAGTATATCAAGTATTTATTTATTAACATGGTTACCAACTATTATTACTGGTATAGTTCAACAGATAAATCCATCGAATTATTTATATGGAATCGAAGAAAATTTTATATCAGATCTTACGTATTTGGTTTGTCTAACACTTCCGTGGATGTCTCTTGGATTACTTCCAGATTTTCATAAATGGATGTTAAGACGAGTCCAGCATATCACAACTCGACAAAATACTATTAGACCTACGATCTAAGAACTATATCTACATAATGTATTATTCATATAATTGTTTTATGAACACAATAAATTTTATGTCTTGTAGTAAATAGAAAGAAATATTTAATTATATGTATATACTGTTTGCATTGATAAATATGAATGTCACCTAGTCGATAGTATAAAAAATTTGCTGTAATATCGATACTCACTATTCAATTACAGTAGTGACATCTTAATGTCAATCGTTTTATGACTTAAATAAATACAACACGATAGATATTTTGATTTTGATATGTATTTTTGTAAGAAAAAAAACACGTAGATGTAAATAATGAATATTGTCTATGAAATGTATAATCTAGTGACTTGATATCATACGAATAACAATCAATATTGATTACGAGAGAGTCGAAAAACTAAACAACAATACTTTTCGATCACTTCAAAGGAAATATTAAATACAAATATATTAAAGAAATATATATTTTTATAGTTTTAAACAAAAACTCCAATCAAATAATTCATTCTTCTAAAACATCTATAATCTCATTGCCCTTTAGTATTGTCAGTAGTTCCTATATATACCTCGATGTATACTGATTTTTTTTTCAAATATTAATAATATCAACTTCAGTCGTCTTTGTATGACATGTATTGAAGCAATACTGGAATTAGTATTTCTTCTAACAAAATCTGATATATATTTAAATTAATTCTATTATAAGAAATAAGGAACTCGTCTTCGCAAAATATATGGGTCATTTTTACAATAACATAAAATAATATTTATTTATAGACGTTTTCCATTTTGTTTATATAACAGTTATAGAGTAATTCATTGTTTTCATTATTTTTTTTTCTTAGATATCAAGCCTAATGAGTTTTAATATTACTGTCAATAGACATGATATTAAATATTCTTCTATGTTAATTAATTTTGTCTTATTCAAAGAATAAGATAAAAATGCCTGGCAGAATATTATTATATTTTATATATTAATGAGAATCATTAACATATTAAACTTTGTAAAGTCTAGTTTCCGCCAACCAAGAGACAAATCTATATATAGAGTTAAGAAAAGATAATCAAGAGAGATGAAGAAAAAAATAGTGAAAAGCGAACATATCAGAAATGAGATTTTATTACTGTCATAAAATTACTCCGAGAAGCATACCACTGCTCTCTTTTTGACTCTACAGCTAACCATTAACAAGATGGACACACTAGCAAATAATGGACATCTTATTCATAGTATCAAATTTTTCGTTGTTCTTATCTTGGAAATTTTAGCCATTATTCTTTTTCTTCTCATTTTTCTCTTCTTCATTACTAATCGTCGTTACTTAGATAAACTACAAAATCAAGCTTTATTAATCTTATTTATGGTTAATTTTACTCAACTATCACTTAATATACCAATGCTTCTACATTTCCTTCGTCTCGATCGTGTTAGTCCAGCAACAGGCACATATTGTAAAACGTGGATGTACATTGAGTCGACTCTTGATGCTGCCAATGAATTTTTAGTAGCTGTTATATCTATTCAACGACATACACTCATTTTTCAACCAAATCTATTACATATACGTTTCAAACGGTATCTTCTATATTATTTACCACTTCTGTTCTGCATTATTTATCCAGTTGTTTTTTATTTGGGTACTATTATTTTGTATTCATGTGATGAAGCACAATGGAACTTTACATTAAATGCATGTGGTGATACTATCTGTTATCTTTCAGATAATGAGATATTAGCTGGATATGATTGGATAGTGAATACTGGA